ATGGAATATTCTGTTTTGAATGCTCTGTAATGTAGGTTTTCTAGTTATGAATTCTTTTCATTTTTGTTTATCATGGATTTTTAAAATTTAATCTTCAAATCTGAAACTTACTTTTGCTGGATATAAAATTCTTGATTGGCATCCATGTTCTTTCAGAGCTTGAAATATATTATTCCTCAAAGCTAGGAATAATATATTCCTAGCTTTGAGGGTCTGGGTTGAGAAATCAATTGAAATCTGAATTGGTTTCCCCCTATACGTAATTTGATTTTCTTTCCCTTCTCATAGCCTTTAAGATTTTATCTTTATTCTGTTGTTAGTCATTCTCATTATAATGTGTCTAGGTGTGGGGTTTTTTGTAATTGTGTACATTTGTACTCTTGTATTTGACTTTCCATTCTATTCTTTAGGTTTGGGAAATTTTCTGCTATTTTATCATTGAAAAGATTGTGCATTCCTTTGGTTTGTATCTCTGCTCCTTCATCTATTCTGATAACTCTTAAATTTGGTCTTTTCATATTATCCCATAATTCTTGGATGTTCTGTTCATGGTTTCGTACCATCTTCTCTGCATGGTCAACTCTACTTTCAAGATTATATTTTGTCTTCATTGTCTGACATTCTGTCTTCCAAGTGGTCTAATCTGTTGTTGATGCTTTCTATTGAATTTATAATTTTGGTTACTGATTCCTTCATTTTGAAGATTTCTGCTTTTTTTCCCCACAATCTCTAACTCTTTATTGAAGTGGTCTTTCACTTCCTATATTTTTTCTTTGATTTCACTCCTTATACTATTCTTTACTTCACACATCAATTTAACTATGTACTATCTGAACTCCTTCTTGGAGATTTTTTTCTACTGTGTTATGAGTGGTTTCTGTTGCTGAAGCATCTTGGTTTGTTTGGGGCACTTTATTCCCTTGTTTTTTCATGTTGTTAGTGTGTTTTCCCATCTAGAAGTATGGATCTACAGTGCTGGGGCTGTAGCTCAGTGGTAGAGTGCTTGCCTTGGGCGAGGAGGCACTTGGTTTGATCCTCAGCACCACATAAAAAATACACAAATAAAATAAAGGCATGCTGTCCATCTACAACTACAAAAAAGTATGGATCTAAGTCAGGATAAATTCTACCCTATAGACCTATGGTGTCCCTGAAGGTTTCTAGCACTTCGCCTTTACTGGTGAGACCAGTATCAACAGCACCCAGTGTAAACAATATATAGCCTTAATCTTAACAGCTCCCACTAAGGTGTCTGCTGCTTCTCGTATTAAACCAAAATGATGAGTACAATCAGAAAATTTGTTAAAACGGTTTAGAATTTCAAATGGTGGATGAGACAACAGAGGTAGTACAGTATGCGATATTTGCAAGGGAGGAAGAGAGAAACTAGAAATAAAAATTCACAGGAAGGGTGGAAGAGGAGATGACAGAGATTGACTGTTCGTTGGAGCAATGTTGGAAAGAAAACAGACAAGAGAGGGGAAGAATATAAACAAAGAGAAAAAATTATAGACACACGAATACAACAGAAATGCAAAACACCATTCATATATCATTGTCCTCCACACACTGATGCATAAAAAACATCCTGTTCCAAATATGGCAGAGAGATTAGCAAATCGAAAAATAAAATAAAATAAATCTTGCTGGAATGTTGAACTGTCTCTGTCAGCGTTCACCAGTTTCTCAGCCCTGTCTCTGATGTCTCTTGGGATCACCGAACCCAGATCAGCCCTCACAAACCCATTTCTTTATCCCACCAATCTGGGCTTCAGATACCTCAGGCTCAGCCAGGCTGCAGTCCCAAGATCTCAATGCTGCTCCTACTTGCAGAGAGACCACCAGGGATACACTCATGCAAAGGAGCAATCCTGAGATGCAGCAGCAAGATAACAGCCACCAGCACTCCCCACAGAAATACCTCAGGCTCCTCCAAATCCACAGGCACCCCCATACTGGACCTGCAAGTCCCTGCTGGAGTCCCCAGACTCCAGGTTACCACTCATGTGGTGGTAAACCTGCTGGCACCCGGGCCCCAGGCCCTGGCTGGTGTCCCTTAATGGGTGCAACCAACCTGGAGTATCCCCAGAAGCAGTCCTCTAGGCTGGGGTAGCAGCGATATTGGCGGTGGTTGTTGGCAGCAGGCAGTGCAGCTGCAGGGGCACATGCAGTTGCAACTGTTGGGACAGCATCACCAGGCCGTCTCCGGGGGTCAACAGCAGTGTCGGCTCTAGTTGCATCTGAGCCAACAGTGTCTTCTGTGGCAGCAACACCCAAAAAGAAGACCTCCAGGCGACCTCAGGCTGGCAGCAACAGAATCAGAAGCAGCACCAATGGGGTAGGGGCGCAGGCGGCAGTTGATTTCTGGTTCAGCAGCAGAGACCATGGAGGTAGTAGCTTCAGAAGTAGCCTTAGAGGTAACCGAGGCAACCAAGTCCGGCCTCCGCAGCAGCGGTGGCAGTGGCACCTGCAACCGCGGCACCTACCAGATGTATTTTCTTTTTAAAATATAAATTATTTCCCCTTATGGACCAAAAGATCATGAATTGCAAGCTATATTGTCATAATGGGTGCAACTACGTGCAACCATCCTGCAGTATCCCCAGAAGCAGTTTATGCTTGGGTTTTTAATACACTGACTTTTTTTTTTCCCCCCAAATCAATTGGGACTTAACTATAGCTCTTAATCCAGCGATTGGCAGTCTTAAGACTCTATGTGTTAAGAAGGTCATTTTCTAGCAAGGACTTCTCTTAACTCCCCTAAATAGGATATAGGTTTCTAATTTAGTATTTTCTTTATATATTTGTGTTGCTCATGGGACATGTTACAGGACGTCTCTGCTTTGATATTGTTTTTCCTGCTTCACAGGATTCAAAACACAGGGTGGAGATTTTTCAATTTTGATTTACTTTTAATATTGGTCAATTTTCCAAAGATAAAAGCCCAGCATTCTTTCATTCACACTGAATCTAATCCATGAGAAACAGATGTATCACAGGATTTCCTTCCTCCCTTCTTAACAGAGAAAGGAAGGTGGCACTTCTGTCAGATTTAATCTCTAAGTTTATTTTTTCTCTTTTGAACCAGTTGTGCTGAGCTGCTTCATGGCTCTGAGTATTGACTCCAAGAATATCAAACTTCTCCTTTGTAACCCTAATATTGTGATTTTAAAGAAAGATTTTCTAGATGTTTGGTATAAAAGAGGATTTCTAATGGCATTGGAACTGTCCTTGAATCACCTGAAACAATAACATCAAAGGAATACATACACAAGTTTTATAAAATTCTAGAATGTTTAGACTAAAAGCAATTCCAGGAGAGACCTGGAATTCTAGGTCTCTTCACATACTCCTAGGCTAGCTTCACATACAGATTTCATTTCCCAGAATTTTCCCAAAGAGGCTTGGGAAATCTCAGCCCAGGTTCCCTAGAAATTAGGCAAATGTTCCCAAGGGCAAAGTGGCTTCAGCTCTCCACTTTACCTTTATGGCTAATTTTCACTTAGATTTTGTCTTGCAATTCCTTGCAATCCTGTCAGTTCTTTAAATGTCATACTACCAGAACCAGAATACCATTCATTCTTAGGGATAAAGGTGGATGGAGGGCTGTTTTTTTTTTTTTTTAAATAATAAGCAATTCAAACACAAAATAAATGCAAAAATAACATGGTTGACATCAGTGTACCCACTTGCATCAATTACATGCTAATTTTTTCTTACTTAATTAGATTCCAGTATCTCTTTCAGACAGACAGTTGATTTTTTTTCACTTTTTCATCAATATAAATACCTTTCTTTGTATATGTTGCCTTGGGAACATGTGCAAAATGGGCAACAAAAAAGAAGGGATGAGTGGTAGGCTATATTTGAAACATTTTTTTTAATTCACATCATGGAATACTCTATAGAGTTTAAAGGAGCTAAATCTACACATATCAAACAGGAAAACCTCAGAAATACAATGAATGATAAAACAAGTTAGAAAAATATACAGAAAAATACCATTCTATAAAAATTTTAGATACACAAAACAATAATATATATTGTTTATGATTGTATACATTTGTAGTAAAAATAGTAAAACCATCCTTAGGGTACTGGTAGAGTTGGGAACTCAATTCAAACCAAAGCTTCATTCCATTCTACCATGTGGCCACTGTCTCTGTGTCGAGTGGGTGTCCCCAGGTGCTGGGTCTTCCTTGTGTCCACACTTGCAACTCGACAGTTTGAGATTTGCTTTTCTCATGGAACTTCATTGGTTCTCCTAGAGGTCATTTTCCCCCACCCCTTCAATTTAGTACTTTGAAGCTATAATATAGTACATGCCCTGGTAAAACCTTCTCATTATCCTTAATATGCTTGGTCTTGTGCTATATACTGTGCTAGATTCTTCAATCTCAAATCCATTCTTTTGAAATAAGATCTTAGATTGTTCTTTTGTTGATTAGTTTGACTATTGAAACCTGGTTCTAAAGTTTACTGCTCTGCCTTACTGCCTCTAAAGCCCACCTACTTCAAGGATTGCAGTTCATATAACTGGATCCAAAAATGTTGCCTATTTTTTTTTTTAAGTCAGTAAAATGGCACCAGCTACTGCTATGCTTATAGAAGAGATAAAGGAGACTTCTTCAGGACTTTTCCCTGTACCCTCCAAAGAGGAACTTATTGTAAAAGAATCTCACAACATTTCTGCTCTTAAAAATCATTAAAATAGATTAGAAAATTATCAGTATAAAGTGGTATGGCATAATGTAGCTAGAATTCAAAATTCTTTTGAATTTTAAGATTCTAAAATTCAAGTTTTTGCTTAAAAGGGATTGAAGAATGTTTATATCCTAGATGGATAATATAAGACAATTTTATTTGTAGTGTGTGCTTTAATAGCTATTTACTGCTAACACTGGTTTATCTAAGCATGTTAACATATAAAGTTTCATAAATCATGTTCTGCATAGTAATATTAGTGAGCACTAAAAAATTTTATGGCCTTCTATTTTCAGGTGTAAACTTCCTGCTTTGGGGCGATTTGCCAGAGATAGAAGAAAGTACAGATGAAGATGTGTTAGATATCTCAGCAGAGGAGTGTATTCGATGAATGGAATTATGACATATGTGTAATTTTTTTTCATATTTAAAATATGTTAATGGATCAACTTTAAAACTGTAGTGAGGATTTACTACTGATTTTCTCTCCTCCTCCCTTTCTTTCTTCTCTTTTAAAACAAAAAGGGGCATTTGTTGATTTATTTATTCGCTATCTCAAATTAATTACCTCAGTTTAATTTAAGCCAATGAAGTTATTCTTTCCTTCTACTTTTACTTCTTCCTCTCCTCTACTACTTCTGTCTGGTATAAGTGTATTCTTAATTTCAGTTAAAAGATTCTTTTTACATGTCACCCAGCTACCTCCTGATCTAAAGAAGTTTTTCTTACAGCTTGATGCCAGATATCATTGATTTTTACATTCCTGACTAAAGGGCATTAGTATCCACTCATATCAAATACACATGTATCAGACTCATCTAAGTATTAAGAGGGAGTTTAAAAAAAGCAAGCTATTAGGTTTCCATGAGTACTGGTTAGCATATGTGATAACTGTTTTAATGTGAAGCGAAACTTATGAATCAGCTTATAGAATAAATTAAAACTTTAAAATATATGGAAAAATCTTTTTGATCCGTTGGCATGTTGTTAGATAAATGAGTTTTTAAAAAAATTATCAATATATACTGTTTACTGATGTTATTTATTTACATTCTCCTAAAGCCATTATGGATATTGTATTATGAAAGCCAGATAAACTAAACCTTAGTCTTTATGTTTTCCTATTCCCTAGGGCTTTTTCTATGAATAGCAAATTTTAGATGAGTAGTGTTTGTCCAAACCCTAATATGGAAAGAAGCTTAAGCCACTGTATATTATAAAGAATTTTTTTTCATTGTTTGTTGTTTTTAAAAATTGTATTCAGAGCCACACAGAAATAGGAAACTGGGATAATGTGGATTCTGGTTTTATGTAAAGCTAAAATCAATGTGTCTCCTTAACTAATATCTTAGTTGCAGGAATTTTGTCAATAATGGTACCAAAGAAGACTTAATTGGAGTTTTGTAAATAAAGTTGGTTCTAAAAATGACCATCCTTTCTTTAATTTTTTATTGTAACCACTTATCATACCCCAAAATATAGAGGGACAGTATATACAATCTAGAATATAAGAGCTAATGTTTATTGAGTACTGACTCTGTGCCAGACACTAATCTAAGTGCTTTCCATATTTAATTCACATATTCCACAAATAAACCCATGAGATAGGCACTATTATTATTTCTTTTTCACTGATAAAACAGGTGAGACATACATAAAGTAACTTATCTGAGGTCATATAACCGGTCAGAGGTGTGGACAGACTCAGACAGACTGACTCCATAACTCCCACTCCTAATATTCATGCTGAATCCTCTGAGCACCTCCAGACATGAATCAGTGATGGTCATACTTAGCCAGAATGCATGCTGGGTAATTAACTACATTGTTATGTACTAAATGAGGCCAGAAATGATGGATTTTAAGGTTGAACAAATTTCAGTTTACTTGGTCTTAGGATAAAAGTGATCTGTAGGTACTGACAGAATCATTTGCTATAAACCAGGATAAAAAGGTGCTTCAGGAAATGCTGTCACTAACACCCGTAGAACTTTTCCACAAGTCTTTCACGCTAACCACCAGAACTAACAGAAGTTCATCCAAAGAGCCAAAGGAAAGAGTGTGAAAAAATTGGTTTTCAGATTTAACTTTTTTTTTTTTCAACCTCTCAAATTCTTATTCTTCTGGAATAAGGTGGGCATATGGATAAGAAGAAAAAAAGATAAGCATTTCCAGGCAACAATAGGTGATTCATGCCTATTATCCCAGTGCCTTGGGAGGCCGAGGCAGGAGGATCCCAAGTTGAAGACCAACCTCAGCAATTTAGTAGTGAGAGGCCCTGTCTCAAAATAAAAATCTAAAAAAGGGCTGGGGATAAGCCAGTGGTAAAGCACCCCTGGGTTTAATCTCTAGTACTGGCAAGGAGTGAGAAGTATTGTATTATACACTATATATTTCTTTTTTTAATTAAAACTTTTATACACTATATATTTCTTTGTTAACTTGTTCAAGTAGAGCAGAGAAGTATAATGCTAGAGCAAAGAACATGGCAAGGTTAAAATTCAATAGAGTTCATCTGCTTCCTGTTCAGCTCATGCCTTCAAAGGCCATGGTTTATGGAGGGGCTCTCTGAAGAGCAAAAGCAAAATAGAGGTGCATGGATTAAAGCAAGCCCCCAAAGTGATTCCACTTCAGCTGGACAATGTTTCAAATTACACAGCTACTTGTAGCCAACTGGGATATAGGAAAGTCAATTTTAAATAGAAAATGGCTGATAAATTTTTATCTAGGGAAATATATTCATGACACTGTTTTTTAATAAAGGCAAATGACACACCCTCTAGTAATACCAAAAGCAGAATCATTGAGCATACACTTTCTAGTCCTACCATAATTCCTGGGCCTAGGAAATTCACCTATGCTTTGGTTGTCTTTTAATATTTGATTCAATTCAACAAGCCTGTATTATTTCTCCTACAGTCTGGTAAGAATTGCTGCTCACACTTGATTTCAGGGAGCATGCAGTATGTTGGGGGAGAGGATCTAATTCATTGAATCAAGTGGTTTAACAAAGGCATACTTAAAGTGCTGTGATTCCATAGATGAAAGAACAATCTTTCTGAGTAATAAGAGAGAGTAGGAGTTGAGAAAGCTAAACAGAAAAAATGATACTTGAGACAGGCTTTGAAGCCCAGGGGTTTGCCAGCTGGGACGAGAGCTTTGGGCAGAGAGAACAGTGTAAACAAATAGATGGAGTTTACATCTTGCATATTTTGGAAATTCTAAGCAGTCCCCCACATCTTCCAAAATAAATATGAAGAATTAATTAGAAGATAAAACTAACAAGGAAGGTTAGGATCGTTGTGTGAAGATTATTCTATGCCATTGTAGGTTTAGACTTCATCTAGGAGCAATGTAGTTATTGAAGTTTTGAGCAAGGGAACAAAATGATCAGATTTAAGACAATAGCTCTAATAAAATATAATCAAGTTTAGTTTTCCTAATGTCCTTTCTTTGGTGCACCTAACAACTTCACCATGGACATTTGATTTATTGCCTTTACTCTAAGAACCCATGTAATTCTTTAAGTTCTATGAATTTCTCATCTTTCTTGGAACCTCTGGTCTGTCATAGGGCAGTGCTTCCCCCCAACCCCCACCTTCCTTCTCATCATTCCTGAAGTTCAAGGCAGGGGCAGTGAGTCATCAATTCACCCGCCATGACTTTTTCTGCTACTTGATCTTTTTCCTCAGGTCAGTTGACTCAGGCTCTGTTGAGCCATCTTGTGTGGAGCCTAATCTTAAAGCTGTAATATTTTGAATAATCCCAGGTGAAAACCAGGTCCTTAAATATTAGTAATTCAGGGAGATTGTTCTACAAAGAACCATTCCTTTGACCTCTGAGTCATATGTGGCTGATTAAGAATAATCTATATTTGCTTTCCTTTGGTAAGGAGGAAGTGACCATGACATATAAACCGAGATATAGAAAACAACTAACTATGCGGACACAAATAGGGAGTGGGGGAAGGTAGGGGAGGATATGGATCGAATAGTCTTGCTTCACTGGTGAATTACTCGATGAAGGCTCTCTCTATTTTAACATTCATGCTTATAAAAGGAAATAGTTTCCTTTTCTGCCTTTTTTTTTTATTTAACTTTAAAAGCAGCCTAAACCATAGTTTCTTTCTTGCCTGGTATTGAGTGTATGCCAAATCTACCCTAAACTGCACAGATGGAAAAAATTAGTCTATGTCTGTGGTACCTCTGGGGTTGAATATTTTTAGTACTTAAATCTTTAGCTAAAGATTCTTTCTTCCAACACTCTCAAAGAATCTTTTTATTGTCATCCAGTGAACAAGCTCACTGAGAGGAAAATTAGCAATATCATGATTTTGTTTAACCCTTTATAGTTTATTGTAAGCTTTTGCATCCTCTTTAATTTAGTGGGCAGAATAACCTTAGGCGCTATCATTCCCATTTTACAAATTAAGAAAGAAAATCTTAATTCTAACACCCCCAAAGTTAGAAGGATTCAAACTTTAATCGATCTTCTCATCTTAGTTGAGGCATCTCTCCTACCTCTATAAGTGACCCTAAAATTGAGATTTATTTTTCCCTCAACAGATAAAAGAGAACAAATTTTCTTTGACTTTCAAACTCAGAGCCCATCTATTTTCATTAATTAATCCATTTGACAAATATTTATTGAGTACCAACTATGTACAAAATAAATGCTAGGAATACAGAACTAAATAAGACAAACTCCCTGCTCTCATGTAGAACTGACATTCTAGTTGAGGGGAAGGAAAAAAGTGAGGTAAATTTACTGTGCTCACTATGTGCAGCCATTGTTCTAAAAGTTATACATATAATCCCTACTAGTTCCTGTTATTCCTCACCATAAAAATCAGAAAACTGAGGCTGGAAAAGGTCAAACAACTTTCCTAAACTCACACAGTAAGTAAATGACATCCCTGTAAGATTTGGAGGGGACATAGTTCACTTAATGACTGTGTTTCCTTTGTATTTTTTAGTGTAGTTGTCTTCCATTCAAATAAGGTCAAGTTTTCCATTAGCAATCTTCCTGTACACATCTGTCCCTATTAGTCCTTAGTTGAAATTATTGTTTTAAATTGAATTGGGGACAACAGCCTCTCCCTTTTCAGTAAGGGAGACTCAGTTTACCTGTAAATGATAAGAATGCTGGCCTTATATACTATGGGGGAAAAAAACCTATAAAGAACTCTTAGTTTACAGGTTTTCTGTACTTCTATCTAGAAACAAAGACATTTTTACAAGTCTAGATTTTTCTTATAGGTGACAACAGTTCACACAAGAGTAAATGTCTATTCTTTAAGGTGTTTGCATATTTCAAAGAAATAGTGAATTAATGCCCACCGTTTACAAATTTCCCCAGTCTTTGCTTTCCTTTTAAGCTTGTACATGAAGTCTACATATATGGAATTTCAGAAGCAGCCTTGCCTTAAATGAGCACAATTGAATCTTTATAATCAGATTACGTATTTATGAGGAAAACAAAAGCAGGTGTCAAATCCATATCCAAATTTTTCATTTTAAGACTTGGGAAAGAGTGAGTTGACAAATAACTAACGATTAATTGGATCTGCCAAATATGGGCACCAGTGAAGTTTGCCCACCAGAATACATCTCTCCACCTCCGTTCACACAAATCACTTCCTCTGGAAAGGGGCCCATGGCAAAAGTAGGCATATGGGAATGATTCACTTAGGGAAAGTGGTACCCAGAATATCAAAACAGTTTGCTTTCTGTCTCTATATCCATGCCATAATTTTTCTCCCCAAAGGAACCACCTGCTATTATGGCTGTGACACCTGAAAAGGCTTTCTGTATATTGCAAGAGATTGCTCATGTGTGGGTGGATTTTCAGGCTGTTGGGTGGTATTTTTAAAAATGGCTCTTTAGGGGGATTATTCTCAGACTGGAACATTGCCTTGTCTTATCAAAATTGCTTCATAGCTTTGTTCACAAATACCTTAAAACAGTGAGCTACAGATGGAGTTCAGTAGAAGACATACTGAGCTAATTTCCTTTGTGTGACATTACCCAGAGAAATCAAGCTGTCAGTACCCTGAAGAGCAAGCCTGCGAGGAGAGATGGCGGCCAAAGCCATGGGGAAGCCAGATGATGAAGAGCTTGCCCTTCATGAGCCTCTGCCCAGCCTCCCAAATTCGTCGTTTCTGATGAAAGTTTAGAACAAATACACAGATTCTGTATGTTTTACTTGTCGTGGCAGTACAGTGACAGCAACGATGGCAAGTACTAAGTGGGAAAAAATCTTGAATCCTAAATCTTTTGGACACTCCACAATATATTCATAAAGTGAAATGACACATCATACTGGAGACCATCATCCCTAAATTATGCCTTTCCTTTATCAAACTTTAGTTCCACCATTTAACTCATATTTAATGAGCATGGCTTATATGTGGGCACTATTTTAAGTGTTA